TCCCAGAATTCTCAGCAGTGGCCACACTGACTGGGGAATTCTGGGAAGTGAAGTCCATACATCTGGAGAGTACTTAGTTTGGGAAATTCTAATTAAAGGCTTGAGGATTGGCTAACAAGAGTTCCACCTGGTGAATACATTTGTGACAGCTCCTGGGGATTTGGAAAGGTATGATTTTTTTTAAAAATCAGTATAAGCCTCCTTTCAGGCTTACATTATACTTGGTGAACATTTCCCATCTCAAAATGCCAAGAAACTATGCAACTATGGTCAGAGATGACTTGCAGGGGGGAGGGGGGTCTACAAAAAATGTTCTGTACATTTACGAATAGAAGAAACATTATGAAAAGGTAGTTTCAAGTCAGAGATGGGAACCCCACAGCCTCAGACAGGATTCAAGGGTTAGGGTTTAAGGGATGAAAAACTCAGCCTTCTGGGCTGAAGCCACCCCTCCCCCTCATATATCATTAATTTTCTCCATGCAAGTCAAATTCTTTCTGGAACCCTTTCCCTGAGTTTATTTATAATACCATCTTATACCCTCTTTTTATATGAGTAGGAGTCCCACAGTACTTGAAAGATCAAGAGGTCTTCTCACTGGGCAGATTTGGGTCTGCTGATGCTCAGCTGCTCTTGTTCTTAAAAGACCATCACTCCACTTCAAAGGTGGGCCTACAGTTTCCACTATTCCCTGTCAGAATTATCTTTGGCCTTACTGGTTAGGAATTCTGAGAAGACTGGAGATTAACAATCTATTCTGGGGTTTCTCAACCTCAGCAACTTTAAGATGGGGTGGACTTCAACTCCCAGAAGTTCATGCAACTTAAAGTTGATAAGGTTGAGAACCTCTGATCTATTCAAACTTCTCCAAACAGCTGTCCTTCTGAAAGATTGAACTATGAGCCTCATTATCCTCAAGCTAGCACGGTCGTTATAATTTAGCACATCAGGAGGCAAAGTTTGGAAAAAGCTAGGGTAAAAATGTCAACCTTGTCTCCAAGACAGCATCCAAGTGGACTATAGACATTTCTCAGTCATTCTAGATCGCTGTTTCTCATCCTTGGCAACTTTAAGATGTCTGGACTTCAATTCCCAGAATTCCCCATGCTGGTTGGGGAATTCTGGGAGTTAAAGTCCAGACATCTTAAAGTTGCCAAGGTTGAGAAACACTGTTCTAAATGGAAGGAATGTTTCATATGTGCTTAGCAATGGTGTTTGGTGCCTATGCTAAGAGATACAATGGAGAACTGTTGGCCCTGGAGAGACAGGACTGGACTTACCGCTAAAGCTGTCTCTAGTCGATACTGGAAGTACAGCAGATCGGGAATTATGAAATAATTTCTACCCCTGAATGAAGAACATAAAAAAGCAGAAAGGATGGAACACATTGCAGAGGGCTCTTCTGAGCCACACCCATAGATAGAAAATTTGAGGGGAAGAAGAAAAATTGATGGCAAGGTGGTACAGAACATTTAGTGGCAGATTTCTTCCTTCCAAGATCAAAGCCCAATCTGTCCTCTACTTCCTTGGATAAATTCAAATAAATAATACGTCTGGAAATGGTGTTGTCCCCTTAACCTTCTTCAAGTTGCTGTATGCAGGCACATTTGTTGTCTCTATGAATTTCTTACATATCCACAACTAAAATAATATTCATTCTTAAATCCAGGAAATGAGGTAGATCTGCCCTCCAGATTGTCAGGATCTATAACTCAGAATGCCCATCTGGAGGCCATCAAGTTAGCAAAGAAAGTTCTAAACCAGTATTTCCCAATATGGCTGCCTTCCAGATGTATCAGCTTCAACTTCCATAATTCCAGTCAGTGGGGCCGTTATTAAGAATTCTGGGGGTTGAACTCTGTACAGCTGGAAGGTAACAAGGTTGGTCTAGATCAATGTTTCTCAACCTTGGCAACTGTAAGATGTGTGGACTTCAAATCCCAAAATTCCTCAGCCAGCATGCTGAGACAGATGGCTGCCAGCCTCCATTTGAACATGTCCAGGAAAGGGGAGCCAAGGTCATTGGTTTCTCCATCCAACTGTTCATCCCCTTAGGAAGTTTTTTTCCTCTTATATTCCATCAGAATCTGTCTTCCCGTAAAGCACTGGTTCTCAGCCTTGACAACTTTAAGATGTCTGGACTTCAACTCCCCGGATTTCCTACCGGACCCCCGGTGTGCGGGGGGATGTGTTGAGAGAAGACTCCACAACTCACATTTGGCATATCGGTGGAAAGACACGACA